CCTTCCTGCCTGCGCAGCCCCGGCGACTCACCTCCCACCGGTGCCCCAGCCCCTGGTACTTACGGGACAGGGTCTGCCTGTGGGAAGTCGGGGTTCCAACCTGGCAGGACCTGGAGAGCCCCCAGCCGTCTCCCTGGGAGTAACGGCGTGCCCCGGGGTGTGGAGCAGGGGGCCTGGCATGGGGTGAGGGCGCTGGGCCGGGCCAGGAACCGGAGGCCCAGACCTGAGAGGCCGCGCAGCATGGAGACACACTTAGGTCACGGCCCCAGCACCAAGGTGACAAGTGAGGGCACAGGGAGAGAGCGTCAGGATAGCCACAGTCCCCCAGTCCCGCGGGAGAACCCGAGCCCAGGTGGGCTCGGGGCCGGGGGTGCAGGAGCCTGGGATGGGGAGGCCAGGGGCCTTCCAAGGACGGCAGCAGGAGGCATTGAGGGTCCTCCGGCCAAGCATTCGGGCCCCGGGATGCTGGCTGGGCTGGGTAAGTGCCCAGCAGGCCACAGAGTCCCAGCCCTGCCCCCTCTGCCATACCATACAAAACGTCTGTCCTCTATGCTTTGACTCCCCACAAACCCCATGTGCCAGCTTGGCCAGGAGCCACCCCCACTTTGTGCCCTGAGCAAAATGAGAATGCCAGCAAGAACCCCAGCCGTAGTGTCGGGGGAGGGCGTTGTGTATTTCCCTGGGTCCTCGTCCCCGCCGCAACAAAGAATTGAAGGGCAGAGACACAGTAGTGAAAAGCAGAGGAAAAGTATTATTTAAAGTTATTTAAAGAGAGAAAAAGTGCAGCCGGCAACCTCAGCTAGGAGAGGCGCCCTGAAGGGTTGGAGAGAGATTAAAAGGTTACGCACTTAGTGCAGGCAACCTCAGAGAGAGGAGCACCCCAAAAGGTTGGGGGTTCCCCCTTTTAAGGATTCTTCAGGAATGTGACCATGGGCTGGGGGTGCAGACTTGTTAAGTGTAGGGCAGCAGGGAGCCCTGCGGCAAGACCACCCTGGAATGCCAGGCCTGGGGGCAGGGAGGTGGGGACGGAAGGGCAGCCTCCCCTGGGAGCAGGGGCTGGGCAGCACCCTGGCGGACGGAACCAGCAGGGACAGCTGGGCTGGGACTGCTGCCCGGGCTGAGGGTCTGATGTCACGGGCCAGCAAAGGCGCTTTTCTTCCAGCTCGAGGCTCCGGCAGGAAGGGTAGGGGCGCTGGAAAGGCCCTTGGCCTCCTCAAAGTGCTATCTGGCTGGGTCCCAGAAGAGTCTCTGGATGCAGCCAGCCTGGCCCTCTCCTGCCCCCCTTCCTTCCACCGGGGAGAGCCTGGAGGAGGGAGAGGCCTCAGACCTGGCTGAAAGCAAGAAACAAAGGCTGCCTGGAGGGGCCCCTTGCTGGAAAGGGCAGGAGACAAGGGGGGCTACAGCCCATCCCCTGCGATGCCCCCACCCCCCGAGACCCAACCTCACCCTGCTAGATACAAGTGGGGCTCTGTGATGTTCTGGGCTGGCCTTGGACGGAACCCTAGAAGGTCTGAGAGGGTGGGGCAGGGGAGCACAGGCTTGGACTTTGCCCTTCGGGGAGACAGGTTCCTGGCAGGGGCCCCGGATCAGCCTGGGAATGAGAAGGGAGGAGGGCTGCGAGTGAGTTCTCTCCTAGACTGCCCTAGATGGTAACGCCCGCTCTCGCCCGGAGACAGTGGGGAGTGCGGGTCCTGCAAGGCAGCTTTGGGGCCCCTGAGGCGGAGGCTCTGGGAACTTTGGTGGGAGGCTTGGCCCTGGCTGCAGGCAGAGGCCACCCGGAGAGGCTCTAGCCCTTCCAGGGAGGGGACTTTCACCGAGGCCTGCAGAAATCTTGGCTGCCTCTGCCTCCGTTTGCTTGTCAGAAGCCAGTGTCTTGTGGCTGAAATACCTTGACAGGTGAAGGCCCTCCCCTCGCCACTCCCATTCTTCAGATGCTCATTCAGTCATTCAACAACGCTTGCTGAGTACCTCCTGTGGGCCAGAGGCACACCAGACTCTAGTGCTCGCGCACTGTCCCTGAATTCCACAGGGTGGACATGGGGGAGGCCCACCCACCACCTGTCCTGGGGAGGGCAGACCTGTCAGAGGCTCCCGGGGAGGCAGGGAGAGAGTGTGCTGCCTTGAGACCTAAAGACGCAGCAGAGCAGGCGCAGCGCGCCCACGGGAACAGGCTCCTGCCTTAGCACATCGGAGACCCCTTGGCAGCCCCAACCAGAGAGCTCCACGTGTGGATTTTGTGCTTGTTACTTTTCTTTATAGTTTTACACCTTGAAGCATCTCTACATAACATATATATTGTTTCTCCTGGTTTTCAGACCATGTTTTAAATACCAGACATACTGTTGTGCAGTTTGTGCCTCTCACGTTGTTATTTTTGAGACGTGTCCAGGTTGACATTTGAAGTTGTCACTTCTTCATTCTGGTAGCTGTGGTGCTTTCTGGAGTGAGCTCGGTACACCAAAGCTCACACACCCCGTGGGCACAGAGGGGCTTCCGGCTTCAGGCAGCTGTTGCTACGGCTGCTCTGTGGGCGCTTGCAAGCAGTGCTCCAGGGAATATCCTAGCAGCCAGCTGGTGGTTGTAGTGTATGTGTGTGTTCAGCTTCCCCAGCACACAGCATATTGTTTCCAAAATGATGTGTCACCTGGCACTGTTGAGAGCGTGCGTGACCATTCTGCATCCTCACCAACATTTGGTATTGTGCAACACGCAGGTCTGGGAGAAGCTGTGAAGATGGAACCTCTAAAAGTGTATTGGTTCTTTCTGTGTCACTCAGAGGGGCTTTCATACCTTCCATGGGGCGCCTGATCTTTAGTCCATCTTCTAGGGACTTTATTTTATTGCCTCGCAGGCATTCTTTAAGTATATTCCTGACTTTGGTCCTCTGGCGGTGAAAGCTTGGAAGTTCTGAATCAGTCCAATGTACCCACTTTCAGCTCTGTCATTCCCATTCGGGTTCTTCTTTGAGTAACGGACTGTGAGGCCGTGAGGTCTCCTGTGTCACTTTCTAAAGGTCTTACTCTTACCGGTTGCAAGGCTTTGACCCACCTGCGAGAGGTTTCCACGTTGGATGTGAGGAAAGGGTTCCAGTTCCCATCTCCCCACAGGGAGAACCGGCTGTGCCAGCGCCTGAGCACACAGGCCGGCCTTTCTGGCCCGATGTGGGCCGCAGGGTTCTCCCCGGCCTACGCTCACCCCCTCTGGGCGTTCGCCCAGCGGCCTCATCTCTGGGAAGAAAGTCCCCTCCTTTTCCTGGCGCTCTTATCTCTTCCGCGGAAATTTGAGAACAAGCTTACCAAGGTCCTTGGAAAACCCTGATGGCATTGCAGTTGCAGTTATGTATATTCAACCTGTACACCAATTGGGTTGTGAAAATTTATAAAAGGAAACTCACTAAAATGGGGCCTGGAGGCCAGAACGTAGTCCTTGAGGTCAATTACAGGCAGAGGCTGTGTCTCAGGCTCCCGAAGGGGAACCTGCGGGCACTGCAGTGCCTTCTGGGCACCCCCGGCCTGCAGCCGGCGGCAGACTCAGCTCGAAGCCAGCGCTTCCCCGGCAGACTTCCCTTCTAAACCCCCCTCGGCTTCCTCCTCCAAACAGAATGGCTCTCTCCTCACTCAGTGGGACGAACCTGTGTGGTTTTTGTCAGTACTCGCTTGTCCCAAATTGCAATTCTTTGCTATTCCCGAATAAACTCATTTTTGCTAGTAAAATCACTGACTGTTTTATTTTTAATGAACATCTCTAAAATATCGAGTTTTTTAACCCAAAAACCTGGTTTATTTATCCATTTACTTTGGCTTCTTGTAGGCCTTTCAAGAAACATTTAAAATAATATTCTCCTTAAAGGTCTTGCACATTTTTCTTGGATTTAGTACTTGGTACTTAATCTGTTACTGTTTTAAATTGAACTTTCTCAGGACTTTTTGTTTGTTAATACAAATTCAATTAATATTCATTTTGTTATCACCACATAGAGTGGGAACTCTTGTTCTTGGCCCAGAGATGTCAGTGGGACCAATTCTAATTATTTATGAGTAAAATTTTGAATAAAATTGACCCTAACAGGCATTACAATTTTATTTCCGATCATAAAAGAGATTGCTTTTAACATATCACCATTAAGTGTAATGTTTGCTGAAGGCTTTTTTGCAGATTATTAGTTTACAAAAATTCTAAAAAAAAAACAAATGTAAATTGACACCAAGTCTTACTGAATGCTTTTTCTGCATCTCTTGAGGCAATCAGATGATTTTTCTGATTAATCCGTGAATGTCATGAGTTACAAGAAATTTTAAAATATTAAACTAGTTTTGTGTTCCTTGGGATTAACCCAAATTGGACAAACTGTATCGTTAAAAACAAAAGTAAACAAATGAGGCAGCATCAGACTTTTTTTTTAAAAAGCTCTCGCACAGCAAAGGACGCCATCAGCAAAATGTAAAGGCGGCCCGCTGCATGGAGAAGGTATTTGTAAATGATAGATCTGATAAATGATAGATCTAGATAGATGTATTTAATATCCAAACTCTGTGCAGAACTCATATCAACACCAAGACCAACAAATAATCTTATTAGAAAATGAACAGACAACCTGAATAGGCATTTTTCCAAAGAAGACAACCAGATGCCAACAGGCACATGAAGAGATGGCCCGCATGGTCAATCACCAGGGAAACACGAATCTAACTGCCAGGGGCTCGCCCTTGCCTCACGCCGGTCGGAAACAGTTACTGTCAACAGCACAAGGAGCAGGTGCTGGCGAGGACGTGGGGGGAAGAGAACCTCCCTGCACTGCTGGTGGGAATGTGAGCTGGTGCTTTCGCCATGGAAAGTAGTATGTAGGGTCCTCAAAAAAATAGGAACTAGAAATAGCATATGACCCAGCAATTTCACTTCTGGGAATTTACCCAAAGAAAACAAAATCACTAATCCAAAAAGATACATGCATCCCTATGTTCTTTGCAGCATCATTTACAGTAGCCAAGATATGGAGGCAGCCGAGTGCCCATCAGTAGATGAATGGATAAGGAGAGGTGGTACGTATACACAATGGAATATTACTCAGCCACAAAAGAATGAAATCCTGCCATTTGTGATGACACAGATAGACCATAGGGTATCATGCCAAGTGAGATAAGCCAGGCAGAGGAAGACAAGACCATTTGATTTCACTTATATGTGGAATCTAAAAAACAAAACAAACAAAACAAATTCATAGACACTGGGAACAGACTGATGGTTACCACAGGGAGGCAGGTGAGGACATTAGGTGAGGGGGGAATCAGTGCTTGCTGTCCTGACGTGGGTGATGGCTGCACGAGTGTGCACATGGTCAGGATTGAGCTGCACACTATGGCTTGTGTATTTTGCTGTATGCACCTAAAAAAAAAGTCAATACAAAATAAAAAATATCCTGTTCATATCTGCTTAACTTCTGCAGCATATATTATTTCCTTCTTTTTGATTCCTGACACCATTTATTTCTGCCTTACTTTTTATTCTCCACTAGTAAGTCAGATGTTTGTGTACTTCATTTTCTCAACCAAGTTTTTGCCTTTATTGATGTTTTCTTCACTGCATATTTGTTTTCTATTTCACTGGTTTCTACTCCAGTTTTTATTCTCTCTTGAACATGATTTTATGGGAGCAGGAATTGTGGGGTTTATCCTGTCGGCTGCTCTGCAGCATGAAGAAAAGTGCCAGGTGTGCAGTACTTACTCAATAAAACATTTTTAGTACAATTTAATGATTTCTTCCCTCCATATTCTTTGTATGTATTCTTTTTCCTCCTTCTGAAATTCAAGGCTCAGTACATTCTCTGAGTCTTTCATCTTCCCTGACGTGTCTAAGAGCCTGTATAGTTCCCTTTTGTCTCTGCTTTTAATGCACACTCATTGTTTTCATTTAGTTTTTTTCCCACTGCTATTGTGATTTCTTATTTGACATGTGAGTTGTTCAGACGTGTTTGTTTTAATATCTAAAATCTGGGCTTTTCCTAGTTCTCTTTTTAGTGTTCATCTCTAACTTAGCTGCCGCATGGTCAGATCATGTACCCCGAATGAGACCAATCTCCAGCAATATTCTGACACTTTTTGGCCTCCCATGTAAGTCATAAATAGCTGGAAATATTCCATATGTGCTTGAATAGAATGTGTACTCTCCAATTAGTGAGTGCATCGATCTATATATGTCCATGAGATTCACATCATCAATAAATTTTTATATCTATTATAACCTATTCATTAAGAAATTTGTTAAAATTTCCCACTGTGATGGTGAGTTTGCCCATTTCTCTTTATTGTTCTGAGAAGTCTTTATATATGTGTAATACAAAATTTGTATTTTAAAATATTTGTATTTTACCTCACCTTTCTACTTGGAAATAACTACAGGTTCATACAAGGTTGCAAAGAAATGTGCACACATGCCTTTTGTGCCCTCCCCTCGGTGTCCCCAGTGTTAACATCTTATGACAGCACAATAGCAAAACCAAGAAGTGGGCCCGGATGCCATCTCAGGAGCTTAATCACATGTGTGTGTGGCTCTCTGCAGCTTTCCCACACACGTGACCTTGTGTAACCATCACCACCACCAAGCTCAACTGAACCTTCACCGTAGGACTGCTTCCCCCTCCCTTTTCTAGCCACATCCCCAAACATTCTTTCTTCATAACTGTTATTTCACAATTGCTGCATAAACAGATTGTGTATAATGTATCCTTCAGGTTAGCTTTTACGGCTCAGAGTAATTTCCTGGAAGTTCATCCACACGGTTGTGTTTGGATAGTTCACTCCTTGTGCCACTGAGTTCCATCCTGCGGTGTGGATGGATCACAGTCTGCTCAGCAATCAGCCCTAGAAGGACATTCAGCGAGTTGGTAGTTTCGGGCTATCACCAATAAGGCTGCTATAAACATTCATGTACATGTTCCTGCATGAAAACGAAAAAGTCTTCATTTCTCTGGAACAAATGCCCAAGAATGCAGTTGCTGGCTTGCATGGCGCACTAAGGCCCCAGAGACCCAGTGGGTGCACAGCCACCGCACCAGCACTCCAGACACCGGAGCTCCCACAGCTCCTCCCACCTCACATGTCAGAGGGACATTAGTTCCATTCTACCCATCCCCCCATGCTCAGATTAGCATTATTACTATTACGTTATTGTCCTTATATACAGTCAGTGTTTGCTTAGATTCCCCTACATGTTTGATGGTACATTTTGGTTGGTTTTAATATATGGCCACATATTTGACTCTGCTCTTTGGGAAAGCAGAGCCTAACTCCCCTACGGCCTTGAGAAAGGACAGGCTTCAGACCAGCTTCTAGCGAACAGAAGACCACAGAGTGAGGGTATGACCCAGGGCCTGAAGGACGCATGGCCACCCCATGGCCTTTTTCTCGGGTCGCCCACTCTAGGGAGGCAGCCTCAGTGTCAGGAGGACACCTGAGCAGTCCACTGGAGAGGACACCCAGGTGCTCTGCCAGTACCCCTCGAGGCGCCGCCCCAGGCACAGGCAGGGCCTGCACACATCTGGTAAGGAAAAATTCTGAGCCATCCTAAATTAAGTGATGTAAGGGACAGACAAGACAGACAAGGAAAGGCTGTCAGTCAATAGCCATGGGCCATAGCTAACCGGAAGCTCCACATTCCTGTACGACACCATCTCAATGATCATCTAGAAGGTCCCCAGAACCACTGCATCCGTCATGTCATGTGTGACCTGCGTTCCCAGTCTTTCCCTGATTCGCATCAAAAACCCTTTTATTTCAGAGTTCTCTTGGTCTCTAGTTTTGACTTGTCAAATATGTGCAGCTGCCCTGAAGTCTTAACTCACAGAAACATTAAGAAAACTGTTAAAGGCACTTGAGAGCAGCCTCTCCACCCCTTGAGGTATCTGTGAATAAGGCCAGGTGGGGGTTCTGGAAACTTTGCGATTTTATCCCCCCCACCACATTAAGTTCATTCGTTCAGTAGCAGTAGATAAAACTCTTTCCCCGTGATTTCTTCTTGGATTCGCCTTCTTCCTGAAGCCCTTCCCCTGGACTTCCTTCAGCGGCACCCTGTTGGTGGCAAACACTCAATTCTGTGTGTTCAAACATGTTCTTATTCAACTCCTCTTAAAAGACCATTTCCCTGGGTGCGCCCTCCTAGCTCAGCATCTGTATTACCTCAGCCACTCAGATGTCATTTCACTGTCACTGGCCTGCCACTGTGGGTGATTGCCAGTTTCTGGCTTTTCTGCAGTCTCCCAAAGACAAAATGTGTGTTGCATTTTACTCATCCTGGCTGGGATTTGTTAGGATTCCGGGATCAGATGACGTTCTGGACAGTTCTGGGGAAATTTAAGCCAGTTTGTCTTTAATATATTTGCTCTCCTGCCCTATCCTCCCCTTTCAGGAAACTCAGCCAGATGGT